ACAATTTACTTGACAACGTATTGATTTTGTATGTAGTCGTCCTTGACTCTCCTCACCTTTGCAATTCCACACCTCTCCTCCCGCCAGCTGAAGTAACCATCATTCTTATATTGATCATTCTCTTGTTGTCCTTTCAATAAAGTTTTATGGTATCTATATGTATTCCTAAGAAATAGGCTTTTTGTTTTGTTTTAAACTTTATAAAAGGATAATATCATGTTATATGTACCATTTTGAGACTTTTTTCTCTTAATATTGCAATGGGCATTTAATTTGTTTGCAGGATTTTGCTATTGTGAATAGTGTTGTGAGTATTTTTGTAGTTGCTCTTGTACATGTATGAGAGTTTCTCTTGCTTATTTACTTAGCAGTGGAATTTTCAGATCGTAGGGTAAGTTAATGTTCAGCTTCAGGATATGATGTCAGATTGTTTTCCAAAGTTGTTTACCGCTATATACTTTCATCAGGAATGTGTAAGAGACCTGTGGATTGGCATCTTCTCCAATACTTGTATTGCCACACTTCCACAGTTTTTGCCAATCAACCAGATGTAGGAATGATATTCCATTGTGGTTTGATTTGCGTTTCCTTGATCGCTAATGATGTTGAGCACTTCATATTCATTGGTCACGTGTGTTTCCTTTTTTTTTTACATTGAATGTTCTTGTGTTTTGTACATTTTCTATTGGGTACTTGTGCTTTTTTTACAAAATTATGTGTAAAAATTCTTTATATATTCTTGATACTAATTCTTTGTCAGTTATGTGTACTGCATAATCTTCTTCCAATTTATGACTTGTCTTTTCATGTTAAATTCTCAAAAATTTTTAATATAGTCATATTTATCAGTCTTTTATGAGCAGTACTTTTTTGTCTTGTTTATGTACCTCTCCTTAATCAGAGGTCTAAGTTATTCACTTTGATGTTAAGAGTTTCAAAGTTTCAGAGTTTTGGTGATAATGAAGTTGTTAAACCTTTTGGAGTTGATTTGTGTTTATAATGTGATGTAAAATTGATTCTCACAGATATCTCTTTGAGTTTTTAGCAGTGTTTTT